AACTAGAGATACCGGGTTAGCTTTATTTTAAACCAAACACTTGCAGAATCTATATCACAAAATCGATTTTTTTCTGTGTTTAGAAATGATAACCACAGAACCTTTTCTCTTTTATGAACAATAGGAAGCAATGAACTAAGTATAATCTCTACTCTTGTCCTGTAGAAATAACAATCAATGCTTTTGTTTTAAAAGAGATAAGTAAGTATAAATACCTGGAACTTTATTTAATGCCATCTTTGGACTGGAGACCGCATTCTGAGCGTGTGATTAAAAGGCTAACAAACTTATTTATTTTCTATAAAAAAAGTAGAATGAGTCTTTAATACGTCAGTTCTTCACCAAACATATGAATGTCTTCTTTCCACCGCATTCGTTTCCACTGCGCTATACATGATCAATACTTTCTCTGATCCTGTCTCAACATCATTCATTCAAAGTTGACATGTGTTTAGATGTCTGGTTAGAGGAGTGGTTGGAGTTTCTGATCTGAAATTAGACAGTCCTGGATTCGATTTCCAGTTAACACATACGTTTCCTTTTTAATGTTTGTGTATCAGAAATTGAGACTGTAAATATTCTGAAGTTACCCAGTCAGATTTACTCCTTTACATCTCTCAAAGAAAAATTTCGCTGACAAACACCGAAATTTGCACTTTTCAGATACAGATATAAACGTCAAGTAAAACGAAATCGACAAGCCGTTTGTTTCGTCAGAATAGATTTTTGAGCACATCTTTCGATATTTCAAACTATAATGGATACCTTTTAAAATAGTAGTACATTAATTTATTTACGTCAAACAACCCGCTCGCAGGCGTCTTTGCCTTAAGCAGGCGGACATGTAATTTTTGTGTTCAGAAACGGGTTTCTTTTGCTCAGAAGTGTCTATATATCGCTCACAAAATTATCTTCAAGAACATAAAGCATTTTATGAAAAAACATTTTCGACGCAAAACATCTACCTTACCCTTATTTTTTCGAAAAAACGTTTTTGTTCGATAATATTTTGTGCCATACATCCACTGAGCAGTTTCATGCGCTGATTCTGAATATCACACGATTTCTTGAATAAAAATGTAAAATACCTATAAAACCTAGATCTCAGTTTAGTAAACTGCATAAAAGTGCTATCACCACAGACTCACGCCATGTTGATGTACATTGTATGAAATTTTCAACTGATTTGAAGCTTCAGAAAATTTCGGATAGTCATTACACCGAACATAGCCCTCGGAAAAATTGCTTCGTTTGGGAAAAGACTCTTTTTCGGTGAAAGACTTCGTCTGACACGAACTTTTTTTAACCAGTAGATAGCTAGACGCATCCTGATTCCAAATAACACATTTCGAAAAATTTAAATGTAATTCAGTTTAATAAAACAATTGATTTTACACAGAGATCACGAATATATAAGGTATTTTTTCTTCCACATTTTTTACCGCAAATTCCTCGTTCGAAACAAAAGCTTTTACGCCATTAGATAGCCCATCGATCAAAGTATATTTGCCAGTACGATTATGAATCTCTATTTAACAACAGATTGCAAAAACATAAATCATAAGGAAGTACGAATAATTGTGACATTATAAGAATTAAACTCTAATAGTCAAAATCTGTGAGTTCGTCAAGATAAATTTTTTTTGATAAAAATGCAGTGCTGAATGAAAATTTTTGTCGAGGATTTCAAAAATTTCTTTTCTTCTTTTCATTGCCTAACAACATGCTGGTTCGAATAAACTTATGTGTCATCAGAAGAACTTTGGTATGTTTGCAGAAGAATAGAAGAATGCGTCTTATAGTTCTTAGATTTTTATAGTTACTGTAGACACTTCTTTTTAAACTAACGCAATTTGTAGCTTTAAGATGGCATGAATGACACCAGCAAACGTGTTAATCAAGGTATACTATCATCGTATTTTTCAAAAACAACAACAAGATCTTTTCGCAGATATTGTTATCAATAAAGAAGGCGAAGATAATATTGATTTCGATAGGTTGAAAATTGCACTATTCCACAAAAATACTGCTAACAAATACACAGGTATTTTTCAGGTGAACTGAACGATGTGAAACTTAATAACAAAGAAATATGTTAGCGAGAATAATGTTGGAAGGTTCGCTTGGAAAAAAAGTGGATAATAGAACACGTTATAATTTATTGAAAGAGTATTATGATGTACCCGCAATCTTTGAGCGGTCTTACGCTGAAAGAAAATTAATGGAAATAACTGAAAAATCATTGTGTAATCAGAATCTTTTTATGTTAGCTACTACCTCTCTAATATCATGTTGTTCAAAATTTTGATCTATTTTCAACCTCTTGCCTGTTTCAGAATAAGTTCTCGGCTTCTGTTAACAAAAGACCACATACCTCTTAAAGTCTGATATTTTTGTATGACATTTTTGATACCTTTTAGATCTCTTTTAAAAAATGTATTATTTAAATTATTGCGAAAACCACGAATATTTTGAAGATAAGATTATGAAGAATATTACCTTTACTGTGTTTTAATTCTGTCTCAGGAGCGTTTTTGATAGATTCAGGCGAGGCTCTCATCTTCGATGGTTTAGGCCTGGCATCGGATTTCCTGAGCTCCAGGACTAGTCTTTTTTCACATGTTAGGACGTCAGAGGATGATTCTAGACAGGGGTTATCGACTACACTGAATCTCATGGCAACGTTTGTTTTTAGGAAGAGTTCAAAGATCTGCTGAAAACTGCGATTTCAAGGTTGTTTTCACCTAATATTAAAAAATTTACAATTCACTCAGAACAAGCTCAAAACTTCAGAAATCTGGAGTATTTGGGCTATTCTACATCATATTTATCAGAAGCCTAGAAAAACAGCTTTACAAAACTCGATGATTTCACGAAGAGATTTCTGGAAAACGTTTGAGCAAAAAATATGGTTTTCGACCTTTTCGATGATATAATCACGCTTACCAGACAAATTTAACTAAAAAAAAGGTGAGAACTCAATTTATGTTTGGAACTTTCAAATGTGCTCTTTCTCATGGTCTGTAAAAAATTTGTAACAGCAGATGGTGTGCTGGAGAACAAAGTTACAAAAATACGTCGAAAATTGATAACCTCCTCGTTTCCAACAATGTACTTAAACAAGACACAGAAAACATGATTGAAATTTGGATTTTGCGGTTAGATAGAAAAGAACAATCATTTCTGATCAAAACAAAACACACCCGACCGAAAAAGCTTTTATTTTGATGAGATTATGGGACTTTTACTGAAAGCACTACTATACCCAAATTTTTAAAAAACATAATGAAAAAAATGCATGACAACCGACAGAAATATTATTTCGCCGTGGCTTTTGATGTGAAAAAATTTAAAGTGTAGCTAAAAGATAGAACGAAAACAGGGCTAGAAAATGGCTAATTCAGTTTTTCTTACTTTCAAAACGTTAACACGAGAAAACATTTTTGAGTTTCAGTCTAAAGGCCAATAAACCAAAAGTCGTTCAGAAAGTGAAAAATAAAATTGGACAGCGACATTATGTGAGAAAGGATCAGAATATACGGTTTCCGAGTTAGTTTTAATTTATTAGCTTTAAAAAATGCTTCCTTCACAAGTAAAGCAGTAGTACCGTGTTACTTTTGATACTAACTGAACGTTACAGAGGACCTCAAGCAGATACCACGTCGATAATAGTATCTGACTTCCCTTAGATTCCATTGTTTTTGATTGGCTTTTCATACTCAGCTGACTACATAGTGCATAGAAGCATAACTTGTGAACAAAAGGTTTGATCAACAAAATATTTTAGGAACAGGTTCTGTACTTTAAGTACTCTCCCGTCAGCCTAAATTTTGGATTGAGGGCATGTTTATTATATGATGGATTTAAGCGTTGACCATCAGACTATTTGGAAAGTTTTCATTTTCGACTTTCATCTAATTGGCTTAGTTTTCTTGACTGAAATTCTAAAATTATAGTTTAGGTATGATTTTATAGAGTATTTCGGAGCGCATCTTTCAAAAACAAACATCGTGTCTCAGAAACAAATCCAAACCCAGTTATAAGCAAGATACTGAGACCCTCATTTATTCTAGCCTACCCGGTAATTCAAAGTAAACATTGGATTGCGTCTGTTCTTGTGGTACATGGTCTCTTGACATGACGCAATGGGAGAACAGCCAATCAACAGTCAATACACCTAAAAAAGAGACTGATTTTTGCGAATTTTTTTCTAATACATATTATAACTGATATCAAGACCTTTTAGAATCTGTATTCAAAGTTCTCTGACCTGAAGCCGTCACTGAGATATAAGTGTTTTTCGAAAAACTGTTTGTCATGGCAACAGCGTTAAAATTCTTAGAGTTGTTGTTGTAGTACTCTGTTAATATGTAGATTTTTGCCACAATTTTGGATATCCACCGATATCTCAGTAACGGCTTCAGGTTAGAGGACTCTGAATATAGATTCTAAAAGGTCTTGATATCAGCTACAATATGTAATAGAGAAATTTGAAAAAATGAGTCTCTTTTTTTTAATTTAAAGTGCATAGGTGAATACCCACTGGCTTTTGATTGTATGAGTCATCGTCATGTGGCTACGTGCCATTGTTTCATCACACAATTCTTATGTACAATTGACTATAATGTAAACTAGAGAGGGAATAAACGGCGCTTTATTCAAGATATGACTATTAAATAGTTTGACAACATGAGATAATCTATATGACGAATATAAAATGACTTGATTAAACAAATATTTGACATAAAAAAAAACGATATCCCTTTAAGTATATTTCTGAGTTAACATGTAGAGCACAAATCGAGATCTTTTCATATGAAACAAACATTTTACATCGATTGTTATCAAAACAAAAACCGCGTATCTAATCTAGTTTCGTTTCACAGAAAATGAAAAAACATAATAAAACAAAAATGTGACTGAAAAATTAATTCTTTAAAATGAGCAACAGTTCTACACAAACAACTGGATAATAATCAAATAAAAACGATTGTTAAATGTTATGCAGCCGGTGCATGATTATATTGAACAAATTCTTTTTGTGCTTCAGGCATCCATTTTTCAATTTGACCAATTCGTGTACTATGTGATGGATGATCAGAGAGATATTCAGGCGTCGATCCTTTTCTACGTTGAGCATCCATTCGTTGCCAAAAAGCAACTGCTTCTTGAGGATCATAACCAGCGCGAGCCATGTACAATAAACCAATATGATCTGCTTCCGATTCTTGTTCACGAGAAAATGGTAATGTATTTCCATATTTAGTACCAGCACCCAATGCAGCCATGATTGCCTAAATAAATTCATTGAATGGATGAAATTATAATAAAATTTAAGTAGCTATTTACCTGTCTCTTTACTGGATCCATTTGAGCAAGACTACCTTGTACACCACCCAATAGTGTTTGAGTAATTTCTGTACGAAAGAGTCGTTCAGCACCATGTCTTGATGTCGCATGAGCCATTTCGTGACCGAGTACTGTGGCCAATCCTGCTGCATGTTGTGTTACAGGTAAAATACCCGTATAGACAACGATCTTTCCACCAGGTAAACAAAAGGCATTCACTTCAGCCGATCGAATGACGCTCACCTACAAAACTTCTCCTATTTTCTATCAAAATATTTTCTACTTTTCTTGTAAAATTATGCAAGGAATTTTTTTTTGGAAATTCACTCTTCAAAATAAAAAGAAATGATATAATGTTTGATTTTGAAAAGAGAAAAAAAAGGAAGATTCTGTTGAAAATATTGATTTGAAAAGAGATAACTATACCTCCCAATCGTAATGTATATCACCCTTTCGAGCAGCTGCTTTGGCAAGTTTGGCCGTTACTAGTTTGACCAATTCAACTTCAGATCCACTTTGAACTAATTTTGATGCTTCATCATGTCGGACTTGAGCATAAGCTTCTAAACCCAATTTTTGTTCTTGTTCAGGATTGAGACCGATTCGATGCGTTCGTCCCGTTTCTGGATTTGTTACTTTACTTGCTGTGAACAATTTAAAAAGAATAAAGCCGACTGCAAGCATCAATGGAACAAGTGCTATTGGAAATGCATGTTTTCGTTCAAGTTTTATCGGCATCTTGCTTCAAATAAATTCTAAATGAAACAGAGTAGAATATAGATAAGTTCTACGAGATAAAAAAATACATCATTTCTCTTTTTCGGTACAATTGATAGACAGAAATGGAAAAAATCACTTGTCCTGGACACGTGTTCAAAACACAATGAAGAATATTTTGCTTACAAATACTAATGTGGAGTTATGGAGTTATTTTATACATAAGTCAATACGGATAAGTCATTGATTTATTTTTTTAACCTATCACTCAATATACGAAATTTAAATAATACGGTTAATGCATATGCAATCCGTCCAACATGTGGCTAAATATAAGAAAACGTTTGTTTAAACTGTGTGCTTCTGTCTTCCATGACTCGCTCAGTAAGTCTAGATATTTGATTAGCGTTTCTAAAGATAAGCCCAGGTAGGAAGAACAAAATGCATGAACATTTTTAAAATTGAAAATACACTCTCCAAAAGAAACAATATACTATACATCACAATATGGAGTTTAAACTTACACTTAAACATTAATTTGTAATAAACAATATTTTTGCAACAGAAAACACTCTTCATCCACCTTCTACTCTTTGAAAGCACAGAAAATTCAAACTTCATATGAAATAATTTATTCTCTTGACTTTAGTCTAGGGTATTATAAAATCTTTTTGCGTTCTGTCTCTCCACAAAGCATGGAAATTGAATATATGGAATAACAGTTCATAGGCTGACCAATCAGCACATGAGCAAGATATTAATGCACAAGAGACAAAAATGCTATACAAAGGAAGAAAACAGAAGTAAAACTCCAAACAAACAAAAACAGTGATAGTAGCAATTAGTATTTTTGTCAGCTACAAGACAGATGTCGCACGAATCCGGTTATCTGTATTGATGGACATTAAGAAACGAAGTATTTTTATGTGAAGCTAAAGGTACAAGATAACCCATAGAAACCCTATACTAACAGCAGCTATTCTTAGCTTCATTTTATTTTCATTTATTAATTTAAATTGTTTCGACGTTCCGAACAGCACAGTGCTCATTTTGGAAAGGAAGCCAGATTACTTTATTACTTCATTTGTTTTTATCATCCAAATTTAATTGATGGAGTCCTTCGATAGTGACGATTATCCGTCTGATTCTCTTACCAGTAACGAGAGCAACGACAGTGACCTCAGTTTTGACTCGGATGAATTGGTTGATGACCTACCGGAGCTTCAGATCTCAGATGAATTTTCGAATGAAGATCAAATGGATATAGATTCTATGAGAGAGAGTCATCCTGGTGACAGCGGTTTCACATCGATTTCTCCTAATAATACAGCACTAATTGCAGTGTTCAGAAGCTTTTTCACGGAAGAAAGTTTCAACCTCATTGTCGAACAAACAAACATTTACGGAAAACAGAAATTTCAAAGAAAAAGTCAGTACACAAAGGAGCGGTGAAAGGACGTGGGAGTCAAAGACATTGAATCATTCCTTGGGATAATTATTGTAATGGGAATCAATGACTTGCCACGAATGAAACTTTACTGAAGCAAAGACAATATTTTTCATAATGGTTTCATCTCCGCGATTATGTCGAGAGATCGCTTTCTCCAAATCTTTTATAATTTATTCGCGCACTTTTATTCGACCACATTTCGCTCAACCCTAATTCGTACCAATATCCAGTCTAGTTTCTGTCGGAGTATTTTTTCGCTTTATGGAATTTGTTGACCTTTTACTGCTGTTACTCTGTCAGTTATTTTTCGAGGATCTTAAAGACTTTTTTTACCTTTTCTATCGCCACTCTGCCTGACCTTTTTCCTAAAAACTGATCTACTTTGGATTGCTTTTTTCCGAATTTTCTTTTTCACTGTTATTGGTGTTACTCTGGTCAATCATTTTAGAGGTGTCTGGCCTTATTTTGATTCTCTAGAGTTCTCTTTTCAGCTGTCTCTGCCATCACTCTGTTCGATTTCTTTTTTACTAATACAGGTTTTTTCAGTCTTATCTACAACGAGGAAGCGTAGGCCAAAGGAATCAACAACTGTTCAAAATCATCTTCGACTCAAAAGCCAATAACAATCAAAACACCTTACTGATAAATCATCAGCTGTTAATGCCGATGCTAACCAACAGAAAGATACAATAACAAAGCCAGTTCAACCGTCTTCATCTTCTCTAACCGTAAATGAAACAATTATTGAGTAAAATATTATTATTACCTTCATCTTTTTTTTTGTTTATTGCTATTGCTTTGTTTTCACTAGGTAGGCCTTCGCGCCTCTGGCTATGCTTGCAGTATGAAAGAAACAAAAACAAAGTTGTAAAATTCACTCATTAATGGAATGTAAGATTAAGTCGAGATAACTCCCTAGGCCGTGAAAAATGAGATAAAAAATGAGCCGTGAATGACTCATTCATGTGCCATATATGGCTCATTTTTAAGTCATATCTCTCCCATATTTATCTCATTTATTGTATCATAATATAGTCATAATTATGTCATTTTTTTATGGGATAAATATCATCTTATTATGGTCATCAAAATATGAGCCTATTATGATCCTGTTTAGATCATTTCTGGCTCATTTTAAGACCATTTTAAGACTATTTATGAGATAAGAAATGCAAAGAAGAAAAAATTCGAAACAGCTCGTTTGACGTTGCTGTTTTCGAGAGTAAGGGCCAGACAACGTAAATTTGTTGGAAATAGGGCAGAAGGAAAGCGTTAAATATTAATCGTCGGCTCCTATGACTCGATGTTTTTGATCTTGTAACGGATTTTAATGTGGTACTATTTTGTTTAATTTTCGTTAGCACTTTTGTCACATGAGTAGTGAATGACAACTTTTCATCTACGTAATATCCTAGATACTTAAAAACAATCACCCGTGACAGAATGGCTTGTCCATATCTCAAAACTATTTGTGGTACAGATATTCTAACATATATCCATTGCCAATGAGTTTTCTTTATGTTAACAGGCTGTTTCCAGTTTGATGCATATGTTTCTAACTCTTCAAGTACTTTCTGTCCTTGATTTTGTATCTCATTTGCAAATTCATCATTGTTCCAGAATGCTGATGGGCGTATGATAACAGCAAGATCATCGGCATATAGGTGATTATAACTGGCTGAAGGTAAACTCCTGGGTAAATCTGTGTGGTATAGCAAAAATAGTATCGGCCCGAGACAACTTCCTTGGGGTATACCACGTTTAATTGAGAATGTGTTCGACTTTTCGTTCCCCATTTGTATATATGATGATTGTCCAGTTAAATACATGCTTATCCAGCCGAGCAGTTCACAAGGACAGTTCAACTGAGCAAGTTTGTAGACGAGGCCATCGTGCCATATTTGGCCAAAGCTTTAACAAAGTCAATGTACACGATGAGTGATGCTGTGTGTTGCTCTAGTGCGGTAGTACAGCCTTCAAGAAATTGAGTAAATCTTGTTGTTGTTGAGTGAGCTGGTCTGAATCCTGATTGTTCATCGGGGAGTATATTGTTTTCTGTCATTCACTTTCTGATGTAAAAGCATACATTTTTCGAAAACTTTACCAAAACACGATATTAATGAGATCGATCTGGTGTTCTCAATTGAGATCAACGATGCTTTTTCTTTCGGAAGTAAGAGCATTTTTGCTGTTTTCCAATGAGACGGATATAAATTTGTGGTCAAAAGTTTATTGAATGCTACCAGAATAAACGAATAATGAGATTGTGGAAGGAGTTTAATCGTTTTATTTGAAACTTTATCTGGTCCCGATGATTGTTTAGCTTTGAGACTCCTAATAGCCCATCGAAAATCATTCATGGTAAAAAGAAAGGATTTCGACGGTTGCTCATTTAAATGATTGTCGAAATTTTTAATATAATTGTTCACACGTACATCAGTTGGTGAGAGATAATTGACTTCGCGTTGTTTAAAACAATGAGAATAATACGCATAAGCATGATCAATCATCAACGGAGTGTGGGTGATGATCGTAGCATCTGACTTTATAAAGCCACTGATCGGTGGTGTAGGTGGTTTCATTAGATTTTTTGTGTCTCCAAAACTTCGTCGTCTTTTTTGGCTCGAGTTCCATACAAAATTTTTGCCACTGTGCTCTTTTAATCGCCCGATATTCATATTTGATGTATCTGTTTACTTGATCTAGTAGCATTTTTATTCTTCGGTCTTTGCCTCTTTGTAAAATTTTCGTACTTCTTTTCGATAGGCTAGTACGCTGACAAGATATTGAGATATTGACGGTTTATAGCGATTTGCCATTAAAAAAAACGTACATCTCTCTCGTAGTGCTATAAGGAATTTCTCATAA